TCTTCAACATCAAATCTGCAGTTCTGAAGTGTACATGATGGAAAATGCGTTGAAAAAACCTATATATTACATGCCGTCCGCATCTTATCCCAGAGCGAGCACAAACATCCCTGGGATGTTTTGGGATGTTTTGAAAATGTTGGCATGAAGATGTTATTTTGAGACGTAATATGCACTGACCAAAGAGGTCTTTGAAGGATATTGAAGTATTGTTTTTGTTCTTCTGTGGCATTTCTTTGTTTGCTTACTGAGAGCTATCCCTGGGATGTTTTGGGATGTTTTAGAAATGTAGGCACGAGGATGTTTTTTTTGAGGCGTAATATGCACTTCCCAAAGATGTCTTAGAAGGATATTGAAAGTATTGTTTTTGTTCTTTTGTGCCCTTTCTTTGTTTGCCCCACCACAACGTCTCATATGCTTACGTCACAATACGATCAATTCTGATTTGTTTTCGATTTTATTCTTCTTGTTCGCAATTGGCATTCGCGTTTGCAGCGTGTCACGCTTACATCACGCTGCTAACGAACAGAAAGGAATTTGGTGAAGTTTATCGTGTTAGAATAAGACTTATTTAGTTTGTAATAATGACCATCAGATGCAAGATGTGTTGTTCGGTGCCTCAGTGTAATCAATATATAAAAGTACGAATTCATCAATACACAGCTTCTCCGCAGTTGCGGAATTATGCATTGTGGAGAACATTTCAAAAATTGGGAAACCTATTTCCAATTATATGTCTGTGTGTAGTAAGCACTACTCAGAAACCGGTTAAGAAGGTAATTTCATATCAAGAAAATATTTTTATGTTCAATCTATTTTTATTGCATTTTTTTATTCAAGGGAAATGGAATCCTAATGCAAAAGTTCATTTTTACAAAAGGCTTCAGAAAAATACCTCGAAAATGGTTTTTTTACAGCGATTTAATGTGCGCAAGACGCGTTGAAAATGTTCTGTTGTGTCCATGAAAAGGCTTTAAAAAGAACTAGGGAGAAGGTAGTTTTGTGACATATCAAGGACATCTCGATAATTGCCGCCTGCGGCGGACATTTGCTGACTGGCTGTTCTATAATATAGTTCTATTCATGTGTGAACAGAACATCGCAGTGGAGGTTCAATGTCTCGAAATCTCGTACTTTTAACATCTCTGAGATGTTTTTGGGCTCGCTGGGATTCTGTTTCCATTTTTGTAGAATTACGTTATCCGATGGAAATTACAATAGAGTGAATTGATTTCCCGTGTTCTCACAGTTGGGAACTGCACAAAGGATACCGCACACTTTAATAGGGAAAGTGGCCCCCTGTCGAATTGGCTGAATTTATGATATGTTATAGTCCAGGCCATTCTAAACAAAAAGTTCAATGGGCACAACTCTTTCTATAGGCTAGTGTTGGCACTAGAGGCACTTGAAAACTTTCATTTGTTCTTCATTGTTCTACAACACGGAACGGTATTATGGGTAATAATCACTATTCTGCATAATCAATATCAAAACAGTCATTAATATGAGATACTATTGGAAGTATTGTTCATTGCGAGGATCAATTATACAGTGTGTTCCATATATTATGTCTATTAATACTTCAAATTAATGATGGAACTCATGGAAAATATAACAAAGTGGTATATATATTAGATAGGGTTTTGTCGAATGAGTTTTAATATGATTATTAGTATATTGATGCTCAAGGAGTATCGCGGAAAAATTCCTCCTAAGTCAACCAAGCCTCTAGTCGCACATTCAGTATAAATGTAATATGGAGAAAATAATGGGCTATAACTCAATTATATGTTACATTTAACGTACTCATTCAACCTGGTATCGTCGACCCTATATATAATAGAAAACCCTTGACTGAACCCTAATTATTCATCTAATAACTCACAGGGTGTTCCATCTGAGAATATATCAATAATAGGTACGGAATTTTTCGAATGTTAGAACTTTCGCTTTCTTTTACAATGAACACTCCTTATATTTTTTGACTATGTGATGTAGAATACGATGTAGGATAGGATTCATAAACATTTTCTCATTGTAGATCCCTAAGACGATTTGTAACCATTTTCGAATTATTGAGCTTTGGAAGTTGTAAGTAGCTAGAACACACTGTATAATTGACCAAATATAACAACACCGAAGAAAAATACTTCCGATAGTATCTGATATTGATGACTGTTCAGATCTTGATGATGCAGAATAGTGATTATTACCCAAAATACCGTTCCGTGTTGTATAACAATGAAGAACAAATGAAAGTTTTCAAGTGCCTCTAGCGCCAAAACTAGCCTATAGAAAAAGTTGTGCCCATTGAACTTTTTGTTTGGAATGACTTGGATTATAACATATCAAAAATTCAGCCAATTCGACAGGGGGCCACTTTCCCTATTAAAGTGTGCGGTATCCTTTGCATATTTCTCCTAATTCTCTCAATTTGTCAAATCTTTGAAACTTATGTCATGTACGTCCGTGGGTTGATCCTTCCGTCCGTGGTCCGTGTACTGTCAGTTCCCGCTTTTTCCATCAATATATTTGTGGTTATGTCTGATTGTCAGTGCTTGTCATAGTGTCCGTAAAACGTCAAATAAGCAGTGTCAAGTTGAGTGTCAAGTAAATTTAGGAACTCTAGTTGCCCGCACATGGAATATTTTTTGCACCGTTTGTCAAAATGCACGCAGGTGCTTCTTTTGGATGTTCTGATTGGTCTATAGAAATCTCCTATGCATTTGTTTGGGCAAAACCACTGAAGACGGCTGTGGCAAAACGGAATCGTGTGAATCGTGCGTTTGGCCACAAACCATATATTTAACAAAAATGGGACTAAAATAACAGGTACTTTTTGAATCTATAAGGACGGGAAGTGAAGGATGAAAACAGCCATATTCGTTTGAAACGTTTCGTATTATTTTTTCCCTACGTCGGCATCAACGCCTATTGGTCGATTTCGTTACCTATAGAGACAGAAGTTGGTCCCGCTTTGAGGACAGCTATGCTTCATATATGAGTAGTAGATATATGCCACAAACAAATTTGTAGAGGTGTAAAACTATCGATAGTTTATCGATAGTTTCGATATTATTTTCAAAAAATATCGATACTATCGATCTGGAATTTCTTTCAAAATATATATTCGTTCGAATTTTGCGATCCATTTTTCTCCAGTTAGATCAATAATGGTCAAAGAAACATGTTATAAATATAGAACAGAATCATATAAGTGGAGTCTAAATGAATGATTCAGGTACAAAAGATCAGAAACCAAAATATTTGAAATATTGAAGGGAAAAATCAATAGCAAAATAGACATTGATTTTGACTACTTCAGGTAAGTGCGGTCCTGAAGTGAATCTTTAGGGGAATAACTAGTTTTTTTTTAAGGAATGATTTTAGGAATGATATATCAAGTTTGCTGTTTTATTTTTATTGACTTACAATTTTGATATTTCTAATAGTTTTCTTATTGATTTAATTTTCACAAGTTTTTCTCAAGACCACCCTTGACTTCAGGTTTGAACCTCGATCTCCTGTCACTAATTTATTTGTCTAGTTTTGGAGAAAATTCTCCTACGACTGATGTAGCTGGGACACACAATTTTTTTCTAGATAGTGGTTTCGTTGTTCCAACGTCATAATTTATTCCATTTCCATTTGAATCTATTCGTCTTGTTCAAATTGGTTTTTCTATTGAGCATCAATATTCAAAAGCGATTTTATACTTACTGTTCTTCGGTGACGGTGACCGTCGAACTCTGGGAGTCAAAAAGACGAGATTTCTGTAGAAAATTTTGGACCGATAGTTTATCGATGGTATTCAAAAACTATCGATTGTTTCGATAGTGCAAAACTAACGATACAATCGATAGTGCTATCGATAGTTTTCCACCTCTACAAATTTGTGCAACTCCTCTTTGTTTTTAATGTTATGATTGTTATGTCAAAGAGGGTTATGTTCTGGTTGATGTCATATTTTTATGTTTAATTATTTTCAAAAAACAAACAGGTTTCTAGAGAATGGAGATGATATTCCTTAATTCTTATCATGAAAGCAATGCAAAATGCTGAGAAAATTCTATCATACATCATACCACCAGTACCACAAAGATATCAGGGATAGAACTTGTTGATGATTTCAAATGTGGTTCTTACAGAAGATATTATTTACATTACCCAGTTATTTAACAATATTACTAGCTCTACTAGCTATAATAGGGGACCATATTATAGTTCGTTCAAAGGCTCAAATTGCCCAAGCTATTTTTGATAACACAACTCATTTTATGATAGGAGGATTGTCTTGGGCTATCATTTGTTTGAAGCAACATCATGGAAATAATTATTCACTTCAAACAGTACTGGAAAGTGCTGGATGTGCTCTGATTGCCTCCTTGATAGACATTGACCATTTTGTGGCAGCCAAATCATTCAATCTCAAGGTATAATGGGAGATATTGATATCAATATCATTCTTGTTGAAATGTTGACAATTTGTGTATCTGTTCTTAAATGAATTTCAGGATGCCACCAATTTGAAGGGTAGACCACCATTACATTGTTCTTCATTTCCATTGCTGATTTGTTCTCTAATTTGTATGATGAGTTATGTTTTCAAGATATACATACTCAAACGTGGTTGTCTCATAGCATTGACTGCTTTTGCAAGTCATCACACTAGAGATGCTACAAGAAGAGGATATTGGTTTTATCCATATGGATCTACACCTCCAGTACCTTATGTTCTCTATATTACTTTCACTTGCTGTATACCATACTTTATATCAATTTTGAATAATTTCATGGAATCATCACCTGGCCCAACAATGATACCAATATAGGTAGGTACTATTGTGATTGATGAATAAAAAGATAAACAGGAAATAGTTTCATTGAAGGGAAAAATTTAATTGCTAAAGGTAAACATACAAAAAACACTCAATTTCCTATGCATTGCATTTTCAATGAGATTTTCATGTACTTAGAGCTAATTTTACTATTTATTACTCTTAGTTGGAACTTTCTGAACTAGAATCAGTTGATGAACTAGAGCTACTATCAGTGCTACTTGATTCACTATCACTGCTGGAAGAAGAGTCTGTATCAGAACTACTATCAGAGTCTTCAGTATTTGTCTTCTTATTATATTGTGTTGTTTCTTTTGCATTTATTTTGGCTGATTGTTCTGTTCCTTCCTCCTTGGCTTTCAACCTTTTTTTTAGCTGCTGAGTTCTGGAAGATCTGTGCACATATTTCCTCTTGCCTTTACATTCATATGACCAGTGTCCATATTCCAAACATTTTTGGCATCTGACTCCTTGTATTGGTAATGTATTGGTTTTCCTATGAAGACAAAATGTGTTGAAAATCATGAATCCAATGCGATATCAATGCATAGGCATAATGCATTGGTACTTACTTTTTCCCAAAATAAGCTTTTGTTTGTTTTCCTAGGGTCATAGTTAAACCTATGTATATAGTCAGTACAAAAATATATGAGCTAGTATATATTATGCACACGTTCCATACCCACCACCAGACTGATTAATATTCAACTCAACTGATTATTTTTTATTTTAAAAATATCTGAATTTTTGTTTATGTTCATGGATTACAGTACAGTTCTAACCTAACTTTTTTACCAGAATCTTCTTATTTTTTTCTGACCGCTCCTGTGATTTGTTGCCCTCATCGTCCTGTGGCCTGTAGTATGTGTGCTCTTTCCGTCTGAGCAGCAATCACCTCAGTTCACCAGGCAATGCGCAAGGATTATCAGGGAAATACGGAAATAAAAAACCTCGTAGATTAGTGACAATTTCAGCGTCTACTGCCACTATATCACCATTTCTGCACCAGTGGCCCATGGAGAGTATTATAATCCTAGCCAGTTGCCAGTGCCCAACAGACTTTTAGCCGCTAACAGGGTTCCTTGCAATGACCCCACTGAACTATAACCCTTTATAGTTCAGTGAATGACCCGCGAAAACGTTGCCAGTAAATTTCAGTAAAATCGGAACGATAAAATATACTGGGCAGTCTTGTTCGGGAATATCGGAACATGCTAATATTCGAAAACATTTTCGCGGGGACACTTCAATTTTCAGAATTGACGTTTCAAATCTGGATGATGAAAATCATGACAATTGACAATTCTGAAATGGGTGAAATGTGAAATGTCAGTGGTGGCACTGGTGACAAGCGTGTCGCCGTTTGCGAATGTGTTGGTTGTTTAGGATTAGGCCTGTTCGTTTGTATTGCTGAACTTTCTGAAGTTGATTTTTTCCAATAGTTGTCTCTGTTCAAGGAATGATGTAAACAGAGAAAGTCATAGAAGAAAAACCAAGTTTGGTTGGTAGACGAAGAACAAACGAACAGGTCATATTGAGTTCATTGCTGTGTTGAGGTTCTTTCGTCTGCTTCTCAGTGTCGTGTAAAATGCACTACACTATGAATCAGCTGATATTTCGTGCAGCTACACCAACGAATTTCAAACCAACGAAGAACATTGAATTGAAGAGGAAAAGTGCAATTTGGATTTTTAAACTCGGTATTTGATGTAACTGGTTTTCCAGTATAGGTGTTTATGAATTATAAATATTTTCAAACATGTATTTCGAGTCATTCATCGCGATTTTATTCATACTTGAATTCGAGTGTAATTCACACCTGCCTAAGACTAGGTGGAGATGAACCACACTGGTGTGAAATGCACTTCTCAAAAAAATGCTCAAATTCGGTGTAAATTACACGAAGTGTACGAATGTGCTACACTTTTTATGCAAACGAAAGTGCCTTTGATGTTTTGACTTTTGAGTTTGAGGGCAATCTGCCGACTTCAAAAATGCTCAAGTGGAAGTGAAAATAAACCAAGTGATTGATCATTGATCACAATTCTAATCTCGCAAATAAAGATATTCTGAATATTGAAATATCAAATCAAACAATAGGAAGCTTTTATCCACTACTAGTTCATGGATCTGAAATTTGTGAACGTCTGTTGTTGAACTTGCCTTGGTATTCCTGTTAGTTTCAAAATGACCAGAATAGCAGAATTATCAGCTGGATCATCAGAAAGCAGGTCCAGCAGTGATAGTCCCTATATAAAGAAATTTGCTAAACAGATGTTGAAGAATTCAATGTTCCTGGGAATGTTTCAAGAAAAACGATTCGTTGAACCTGTTAACTCTTATCGGGATGTTGTCAATATTTTCCGTGAAGAGGAAGAATTCATAAAAAATCTACAGGCAGTGAAGAAAAGGATAGAGGAACATTACTTGAAGAGGCCCTGGATTGGTATAACATATCCAGATGATATAGGTGCTCCAGCTGGATACAGTTTATGGGTAGTTTTACCAGAAGAAGTATTTGGGATGTACTGGTATAGAGTGAAAACTGTTGAATTTCTTGATAATGAAATTAGATTGAAGTTGGATATAGTTCGTCCATATCAAAGGGAATGTACTCCCTCTAGAAGTGTTTCATCTGATATTGCAAATGATTCTAGAGAAATGGATTTTAAATCCTATTTTGATAATACATTTCAGGATCTGAGATACCATTTCTTGAACTTCAGGAAAGATGTTCTGACTTTTCATAATATTAAGAATACTGTGATATTCATTTCTCTGTTGATCAGCACATGCATTGCTGGATGTGTCAATATCATCCAATATTTATTGGATTACCTACTTAAACTTGTAAGAGAATTGTCATTCTTGATAAAAGTCTCTACACCAATTATCATAAATTTCATAAATTTATTGGGAAAGGCAATATTTGGATTCTATCATATGATTGTTGTGTTATTCCAAGGTAAACCACCACAAGTTCAACCAGTTTATAATTCATATTTCACCCTAGATCCCCAAAAGATGTTGCCAGATCACATGGAGAAATATGGTAGGCATTTCACCAGAGGTCTTACATATCCTTCTAGAAGTTCTGGACCAACCATAACTCCATTGAATTAAATGATTGATTGAACAGACATGCATGAAATTTGATTGTTAATGGGCCACTAAAAATTTGATATACTTGAATTTCAAAACTGTGATAATTCTTTTTTCTATTTTTAGTAGGTCCTTGTTTAGTAGGTCATGGTTTTTCTGCAATTTTATCATATTTTGAGCATTCTTTTCTAAGAATAATTTATCAATAATTTGTTTATGAGCAGGTCCTAAACAATACCTTTCTGATTCCTGATATATGATATAAATTGCTTCCCATTCTTGAAATGTTATATAGAAATGATTTATATAAGGTTGATGCAATATGCAAAGCTCATTTTCAAAATATTTGCACTGGACATGAATTAGCATAGTCAAATTAGACTGGGATTAGAGTGAATGTCTATGTTACCATGCATTTTATGGTATCAAAATGATAATTCTGTTTACATTGAAGGTATTAATATTGTTGGTATTTATTTATTGTGGAAAGAAATACTTTCAATTTCATTAACAGTTACAGTTGTTATATCAATTCATATAGAATATTCTGCAGTATTCTTCTAAAGGAAATGTAGGTAATATTTGTATGAGGTAGAATGAATCAGTTCCATCAAAATATTTTAGCATTCATAGATTTGATACCAAAACTGTATTAGCTATTGATATTTGAAAGAAATAAAGTTTGAATAATAAATTTCAGGATATGATTTCAATCACATCCATATTATGAATCTCTTGATACTATTATGAGATGTGTGTAATTATTTTTGATATGATTAATGTATTTATTTATTGACATATTTTAGACTGAAAATAATGTAGATTTTATTAAATTTGTCAATGGCATCATATTTTTGTTTTCCTAATATCCATCCATCAAGAAGTCTCAGGTTTGTCCTCATGAAATAAATATTCACAGGTGAAGCATAAATATATTATTACTGAAATGCTATCAAAATATTCAAAATCCAAATCATTTTCCACTATTTAGGAATTGTAGTGAAAAGGTTGCTATTCTAGATGTCCCATAACTATTTTCAAAATTTTATTTCCATGACTGAGATGGCATCCATTTTTTTTTTCAAATCTGATTCTAATTTTTGAAAACAAAAAGATTTGCTACAAGGAAAAATATGATATGAACAGCTGTGATACTATGTAGTAGATATATTATCCTGAATTATTCAAATAAACATGAATACCAGGATAATTTTTCAGCTTCAAATAAGGAAACAAATACTACTTAATATAAGCTATATTTCTAATTATAGTTCCCAATGATGAATGATTCAGTACCTAGTTCAACAATAAAGTTTTACAAATATTTAATAACACATGGAATATGCATGCCCAATCTATATTTTTGCCAATCCAATGACTCCACATGCCAATCTGCCACCAGCATTACCAGTAGTTTTGCTGAGTTCATGTCCACCCTGTCCTAAATCATCAGGATCAGCATGAACAACTACAGTACGACCAATGATACTGTTCTCCCCTTCCAAGGAAATGAACTTATCCTTAATGTTGACCTTTGCTACACCATTATCAGTAGCTTGAATGTTTCCAAGGTCTCCAATGTGGCGAATATCATGATCTGGGCCACCATGCTCCACGTTGCGAGGATTGAAATGGGGACCGGCGGAAATGCACCCGTTGGTGTTGTCTCCGAATTCGTGGACATGGAAACCGTGGAGTCCTTTTTGGAGGCCGGTTATTTCTCCTGTGACTTCCACGGGACTTGTCGAGTTCTGGAAAATTATGGTACAGAATCGTTTACAATTCGTACACTCTGTGAATACGAAGAAAACTCACCGCTTGATTGAAAAATACTGTACCCTTAACTTCCCCATTGAGAACGCAAACTGCTTTTGTAGGCATTGTGAAATTCCGGAACCCACTTGTTGCAAAGTTATAACACTAGAAATGAAGTGAACTAGTAGAATTGCTAAATGCTATTTGAATTCAATTATGCCTTCTTATAAAGCAAAGCAATGACTTGCACCTTATAATCTTTAATTATTCCTAATTGAATTGTATTGTTTACTTGTCCACTTGTCGATTGTTGTATGACAAATGACAATAATGACTTAATAATCGTGAACATAGGTGATCGTGAAACGAGAAGTCTGTCAAGGGCGTCAATGTGTCAACATAGTGTCAAACCGTCAAGACTTCAGATAGACATGACTTCCTCCTACACGAATTTTAAACTAGCGTCTAGAGAGAACGCATCAAATATTTCGAGCGAGCCATGCGGAAGCAATACATAAAATATCCGTCCGAGAATGAATACACGCAATTCCACGAGAAACAGAAAGGTTTAGGAGACTAGAGAAGATGTCGAAAAAATGTTTCGTCTCGCGTTGGGAACATAATAATATGGTTTCTATTTCTATGGCTGCGTACTGCGAATTTGTGAACGCATGAATTAAATACCAGCAATACCACCCGAAAAGAAGCAAGTCCACAAAAAATTTCCGGAGCTGTCGGCCGATCTTAAAAAAAAAGCATCATTGAAATAGCGAATCACTATTGACTATCCGTCCCAACAGTAAATGTCTCTAGTCCTTCTTTCAATTACAAAAAAACCGATGTTGAGCGTGTATAGGACAAAACGTCGGAAGTGATAACTTCTATGGTGTATACACTTGTAACTATAGGTTCTTTCGTCTGCTTTTCAGTGTGGTGTAAAATGCACTACACTATGAATCAGCTGATATTCGGTGCAGCTACACCAACAAATTTCAAACGAATGAAGAAAATCTGATTGAAGAGGAAAAGTGCAAAAGTGAACAGAGTTAATTTTGAAATGTGGTATTTGATTCAACTGATTTGCCAGTACAGGTGTTATATCTGATAAAAATATAATCACATATAATATGTATTCCGAGTCATTTATCGCAATTTTGTTAATTATTTAATTCGAGTGTAATTCACACCTGCTCAAGACCAAGTGGAGATGAACTACACTGGTGTGAAATGCACTTTTCAAAAGAATGCTCAAATTAGAGTCACTGGATGGTATTATCAAACTAATACCATCCAGTGACTCTAGCTCAAATAATGTGTAAACCACACGAAGTGTATGAATGTGCTGCACTTTTCGTACAAAAGAAAGGGTCTTATGTCGGTCTTATGGTGACGCGAGTTTGCCGTCTCACACCCCAGAGGAAGTACCCAACGGGTAGAGTACGATTCGAACCCGCGAAATCTTTGAATCCATTTGAAATTATAACATATATGTTCAACACAACAGTGGAGAATATAAATACCCACAAAAAAGCTCAATCATTTCTACAAATGTTCATAGATAATGAACAACATTGGTATATGACGGGAGAAAAACAACTGCTTTCCTGGCTAATGCCACGCAAAATATCGATATTTACATTCTCCCGAAATCTCGCACGATACGTCGTATAAACGAATATACTAATGCAAGTGTTTCTTTCCCTAATGCCGATTGATTTCGATTTAGCCAGGTTGACGCAACGACACATTCAAGACCGGTTTCGAGTTTTTTTGTCCTCATCAGTGTAGGGTAGTTTATTACAGCTAGCAGTCCGAAGACCGCCGACTGAACGTAACCTGGCCCAACAAAATCCATCTGCAATATTTTTTATAGTCTCGCGGGCACGGGAGATTCCTATGGTGCTCTTGTCACAATGCAAGGGGTGTAACTTCATAGATCTAAACATTCAAAACCACTAACAGTGACTCTTCCTCTAGCGAGCCGCGCGGATATATTTGTTGTGTCCTGTCTTTAGTTGCTTGACCAATCCACCAACACAATGCTATCATGTCCATTTGAGAAAACTCCGTTAGAGGCGGAAAATGATTTAAACAAAGTCCTTCAGTCTTTCTGGATATTCTCAACTGAGTCGCCTCATATTTATTTCTTCATAATTGGAATTCTCTCTGCCTTCAAATTTCGAGTTTTACATCTATACTCTGTACAAGGTGTTTTTGAAATAAGTGCACATATTCAGCACATTAATATGATACAGTTTAAGAAATATGCCCATGATATGAGATTTTTTTCTAATTCTCCTAATTAACGAGAAATTTCATCCCAAAAATTGAACAAATTACGAGAAAAAATTAAGTACCTACGCCACTTTTATAGGTCAATAAAAAAAAATCAACTGATGAATTTTCCATGAATAATTATTTATTTTTGAAAATACATTTCAACATTGCATTCATTCAAGCGTACAAAAATATATTTAAATACATTTACACAATGAAGTTCAACTTATGTAGGACATCATATTCCTCCGACTTGAAATGAACTCTACTGATGAACAAAAATGAGGTTTCAAATCAAGTGCTAAAATATTTTAGATGTTGAAGTATACAAGGTCAATCAGTAGCAAAGCACCATGAATTGAAGGAAAATTCGAATACCTTTTCATAAGTCTTTACCAAGATATAATATAACAGTACATTTTTTTTATTATATCTTCTCACTGAGATTCTTTTGTTGAGTTGAAGTGAATACATAAAAAAATCATTTGCCTTTCAATTTATGGTGCTTGCCTTCGAATCACCCTGTAAAATGAAAATTATAATTTTATATTAAACATTTAATTATGGTCATAACGAGCTGAGTCGTATACAGGGACTGGAATTAGTTTTACAAAAATTTGTATAACAAATTTCGAAATGGCTTGAGATAACTCACAAATGACTCACCTATAGTGTTTACAAATAATACAAACTATACAAATCTTAGTAGGTTATGTGAACAGATATTTGTTTAATGAGAGGAAACACTGACATTTCAAGTAATTGACGTCTTATAATTTATAGTCATTTTAGTCAAAGATCTATGCATAATTTTTCAGAACTGAGATGTTCACAGCTTGGACATATTTAAATTCATTGTGAATCATTGTGAATTTGAATAATACAATACGAAATATGAAACGATCCACCAGCTTGTTTTGTATACAAATTTACAAAAACTAATTCTCACAGTTTCTCATAAACATGACTTAGCTCGTTTGGAGGACCCTGTATAAGTGCAATTTCAATAGTATACCTACTGCTTTCCTACCGGGACTTTCTCAAGAGAGGCTCACCCGTATAAATATTTCGTTTCCACAGATGAACGAAAATACGAATATTTTATACAGTAGTTGTTTTTTCATTACTTCCGGTCTGACGGGAAATAGCACTTACTTTCTCATTTGGAATGGGACACCCGGTATATTTTTACTCGATTCAATAGGAAATCAGCGTGAGGACAATGTCTCCATTTCACCTTTTGGAATTTATAATCCTGAAATTATTTTTTCTAGATTCGTTAATGACCTTTGTTTTATTTGGAAAAATCAAGTGAACCTCAATTGACCTGTAAAACAAATAAAAAGTAAATCTTATCGAAACTTTTTTCCCTAGCAACTTGATTCAAAATTAAACGTTTCAACACATTCATGAAACTTTAGATGGAAAATTAAACATTGATAATTTTGGGATTATGAATGCTAAAACGTGGATAATGCGGTGTCGTACTTACTATGTGCTTTTCTATTGAGTAAGTAAAAATATAGTGGTTGTCCTATTGAACGGAGAAATTAGGGGGAATTTCCAGGAAAATCTGAAGTTATAGACAGGGGCGTCCGCAAAAATAATCTCAGGGAGGGGCAAGTCACAATAAATAATGTACCAGGTGATTCAATAAGGGTAACCGAGAAGCTGTATCTCAGGAACTAATAAATTGCTAACAAAAGGTATGGTTCCAGGAAGGAAGGTTTGGTGAATAAAATAAAGATCCTCGCTAGGAGGCGTGTTTAATAAACTATTAGTTCCTGAGATACTGTACCTCGTCACCGTTATTGAATCACCTGGTACAATATTCAGAACATATAAAAAAAACTGATTTGCACGACCTATAAGCGATTTTACACCGACGAAAGCGGGAATACAGGGTATACAGAGTAGGCACTCTCTATAGGGTAAGAAAATTTTCCGGGATTTTTCTGGCAATAAATCTACCACTATGTTTGCAGCAGCTTCTTCAATAGTTTTTCCACACATTCCTGCAATATTTATTGAAAAAACTTTGGAAAGCAATTAAGAAAATATGCTACCGCACTTTTTCAATGTTCACAAAAAGCAATATGGCTACTCTTCTTTATCGGTAGTCATGATAATCAAACTTGATTATGGGATTATTGTGTTCAGATTTTCATTTTCAGATTGACAATAATTAATTTTATCATAAGATTCTTTCAATTAAAATCGTCGAGTCGTGCAAAAAATGGTATATAAACCTCGGAAGTGAGTTATTTCTTCCCTCAGTGCATTGTAGCACCCTCTGGCTACAAAACCACCTCTGGAAAAATCATGCACTTTACTCTCTCGACATATAATCTATTATTATTCTACGTAAAACATGGAATGAAAAAAAAAGAATATCGATTGAATTGACATCACATAGGTATTCTGTTTACAGCCAAAATTACAATTAAAAATTGCACGTGATGATAATCATAATCTTGTTCAAACAAAAATGGCATTCTTATAGAGTCTTGAGCAAATTTATCAACAACTTCGTTGATAAAATCAACTCTTTATACAGTGTGTCCCACTTACCATGCTCACCATGGGTATCTTTTTAACGGTGAGAGATACGAGGTCGGTTAAATGACACCAAATGTGGAGTTTGTCAAGGCCAACTATAATGTGAAATAATATTTTGATAAAATCTATTCGTGTTTGTTTTATACGCAAAAAACATATTTTGATCATTTTCATGTCTCCTCCGTAACTTCTTTATTTATGAAAATATTCAAATAGGAATTTCACATTCTCTTGGCAGTTTTTCAAAGTTATTTCGAAAAAAATATGAAATTTATACCAACTCTTCTAGAATTTGAGATATCAGCACCAACTTTAGTTTTTCAAATGTAGGTCATAGCTCACTATCATTTAGTTACAAATAACTTTTTTTTTTTACAGATGATATGTCGCAGTAATAGTTTTGTGTTGATAACAACGGAGTTATCGTCATTTATACAAAAACAAAAAATTATTTGGCAGCCGCCATCTTGAATTTTTCAATTTTAACAAAAAAATCATGATCTCCGACCTCAAAAACCCCCAATTACCAATTTTGAATGGA